CCCCCCCCGTCGCCAAAAAAAATTTCGGTCAGTGTACCATTTTAGGGGTCAAAAATTTTTTCCGGACTTACCATAAGTGAAATAGAACTCTAAATTGTCTGAATCTCATAATTTTCGGACGAAAACCATCGTTCTAAATGTGATTTATCACGTATTTTTTTATAACTAAAAGGGCACTTCTGCTCCCCCTGCCCCCCTTAGCAAAAGGCAGGGGGGGCAGCCTCCCCCCCTGCCCCCCAGTTCCGGCGTCCATGGACACAGGGGCCCAAGTTTCAATTGTTTCTAGTGCTTGGCTTCAGAAACATTTTCCAAAGGCCAAAATGCAGGGAGTGGAGGAATTTCTCGGGGTTAATGAACTAGAGCTAAAAACAGCAAATGGAACTGCACTGCCATATTGTGGGTGGACAGAGATTGACTTTTCACTTCTCGGGACAAATAGTGATTATGGGTTAAAAATATCATTTTTAGTCAGCGAGGTTGTTCTCGATTTACCGGTTGTGGGGTATAATGTTATGTGGGGTATAATGTGAAATTACTAGAAAAACCGCTGTGAAGGTTAACCAGGACAAACAGACATCTTTTGTGGATGTGCTATGTTGTAGTTTAATGGATATTGAACGGGCCGAAGTTGAGGCTCTGGTGGCATTTTTACAATCGGAAAAGACCTATGACTTGTGTAACGTTAAAACTACTAAACAAGACATAGTAATTCAACCAGGTCAATCGGTAAAGATAGTTTGTTATGTTGATGTTGGCCCCTTGGAAATGCGAGTACCAGTGTTATTTGAGCCCAACCCAGAGTGTCCTTGGGCGGATGGACTAGAAGTACCAGTAACACTCACAGGTGTGTCAAGAGGAGCTCGAGTCAGTATTCAAGTTAACAATCCGAGTAATCGTGCTATTGTATTGAAAAGGAGGACTGTGTTAGGAACGCTTTAAATGGTGAGATCAATAAACCCAATGGATGTTATACAGTCTAAGAATACTAATAACAATACAGAAGAGCCTCAATGTAATGGGACGGAAGTGGGTGTCAGTGTCGACAGCATCGGGTCTAAAGAAAAACTAATGGGAAATCAAAACTCTGATGGTCTACCAGGTTAATCTTGAGGGACTGACAAACAAACAGAAATGGAAAGTACAACAGATGTTGAAGGAAGAAGCAGATTCATTTTCAAGAGAAGGTGAAATTACACAGCTATTCCACGACCTCTGTATCCAGAGGTTAAACAGTATGTTGAGGATTTACTGAATAAGGGGTATGTTCAAAAATCACGTTCATCGTATTCATCGCCAATGGTCTGTGTCAGAAAAAAATATGGGAACCTTTGGCTATGCGTGGATTACAGACAACTAAATAAGAAGACAGTAACTGATAGACATCCATTAGCAAGAGTGCAAGCGACGCTCGAAAGCCTTGGTGGTAACAAATGATTCACAGTGTTAGATCAGGGGAAGGATCGACACAAAACTGCTTTTATCACCCCGTGGAGTTTATTCGAGTGGATTCGAATACCGTTTGGGCTTAAAAATGCACCCGGAGAATTCCAAAGGTTTATGGAACACTGCCTAGAGGGTCTTAAAGAGGACATTTGCATCCCATATTTAGATGACATTATAATATTTACAAAAACATTTGATGAACACGTTGAGCATGTCCATTTGGTTATACAACGATTACGTGCCAATGGAATTAAGTTAAACCAGGAAAGTGTAATTTCTTTCAAAGGGAAGTTAACTATTTGGGACAGATTGTGTCAGCAGAGGGGTACAGACTCGACCCAGGAAAGACTGAAGCAGTAACAGTCGAAACTTCTGGGACTTCTCGGCTACTATCGGAGATATATTGAGGACTTTGCACGAATAGCAAGACCATTATTCGATTTGTTACAAGCTCCACCTGATGTGAATTCTAACTCGAGTAATGTGAAAAACAGTGTACCATCATCACAACCAATTCAGTGGCAAAGCCAACACCAGAATGCTCTCTGTGAACTTCTTGATTATCTCATAAGCCCACCTATCCTGGGTTACCCAGATTATAGTCAACCGTTTTAGTTACATACAGATGCATCACTTCAGGGAGTTGGCGCTGTGTTGTATCAAATGCAAGAGGGAAATTTGCGAGTAATCGGGTATGGTTCGAGATCCCTAAACCCTGCAGAAAGAAGGTACCATGCTGGAAAGCTAGAATTCGTAGCCCTAAAGTGGGCTGTCTGCGAACACTTTCCAGACATTTTATAATATGCCCCGAACTTTACGATCTATACAGATAATAATCCGTTAACATACATACTATCAACAGCTAAATTAAATGCAACGGGTCATCGTTGGGTGTCCGAACTCGCGGATTTCACATTCGACATAAAGTACTGGCCGGGGTGTAATAACCAAGATGCAGATGCTTTGTCAAGGATGCTTGTAGACTTGGCAAATTATCGAGAAATGTGCACGGAGGAGGTATCTAGTGAAAACATCAAGGCTGTAATTACGGGTATTACCGCACGCTCTAACACTTGTCGAAGATCTTCCGGATATAACGATTTTCTAACTAGGGCGTAGATTGAGCATCGGTAATGATGAAATTCTCAAGGCACAAAAAGAAGATCTGTCGATCGGTAAGGTACGATCATTCAAGCTCGAGGGGCGCCGCCCATCCATTCAGGATGCGAAAAATGAACTACTCAATACCAAGACCCTGTTGCGGCAATGGCATAAACTTAAGATTGGAAAGGATGGATTACTACGTCGCGAAAGCGGTCCATACACACAACTCGTTTTGCCAAGAAAATTTCTCCCTACGGTTTACAAAGAACTGCATCAGGATATGGGACATTTAGGAGCGGAGAGAGTGGTACAATTAGCAAGAGAAAGATACGTATGTTTTTGACAAAAAAAGATTTAAACATAGTTAGACTGCGAATGTCTGCAAGACAAGCTATTTTACACACACGATTCCAGAGAGGGACAATACGGTTGAAGAAGGACGACTGGAAAGCACTTGTTTTACACGACGGAACTTTAAGTACGAGAGAAGGATTTTCACAGTTACGAGTACGATTATGACTAACAAACGACACAAAATTAGAAATATTTAAATCGTAAAATCCATTTAGCAACTTAAAGAAAAATGTCAAATCCTTGATCTCTCTGTCGTATGTCAACGGGAGAAGATTTAACATCTGCAATCGATCCCTATATGTGAGGTCCCGAGTTTGGAGGATCCATCTTGTGGCGCACCTTTGCACTCTCTCCAACAGCGTTTTGTTCTTATACTGCGACGGTGACCAGACTTCTGCAGTGTAACATAGCTGGGATTTTACCAGGGAAAGATACAATGTGCGCCGAACATTGCAAACTGTTAGGAGGGGACATGTTCTTCGTAGTAGACCCAGCATTATATTGGCCTTTCTAACAATCCGCGATATATGCGTGTTCCAACAGAGGTTACTTGTCAAAGTGATCTCGAGATCAACTTCACTGTTCACGCGTTTCAAACCTACAGAACCAAGATGGTAATTGGCGATGAGCGGCCTTCTACGGCGGGAGATTGTCATTATTTTGCACTTAGAGGTGTTGAATGTGATGTTTGAATCAACGCTCCAAACTCCGGCGCACGATAAGGCGGTCTGGCAAGCACTATCCTCGTTAGACATTATAGTCCTGTATAGCTTCGCGTCATCAGCGTACAGTCCTGTTGATGTTGCTTGAGGAATTGCGTCAGTGGGATCATTATTGAACAGAAGGAAAAGCATGGGACCTAAAATGTTTCCTTTTGGGACGCCAGAGGTTACTGGCGACCATTCCGAAGCTACGCCTTGGACAACAATACGCTGTGTATGCCCACATAGGTAGCTACTGAACCAGTCGTAAAGGTTTCCCGATATTCCATACATTCTTAGTTTCATTAGGAGAATGTTATGATCAACCGAATCGAAGGCCTTTGCGAAATCAAGGAAGATAACGTCCGTCTGGATATTATTGTCGAGTAGTTGTCCGATTCGATGAAGAGTTGTCAGAGGCTGGGCGACACACGAGCGACCATGAAGGAATCCGTGCTGAGCGTCATTTATCATGACCCGAACATGATCATAGAATCGAATACAAACTCATCGCCCCAAGACTTTGCTAATAATGGATAGTAGGGATATTGGTCGGTAGTTCGTGGTAGGTTCCTTTTTCTCTTTCTTATGAACGGGTGTAACATTAGCGGATTTCCATTCAGAAGGAACAGTTCCAGTGCGAAGGGAGTGGTTGAAAAGTGAGCAAAGACTTGGAGCGATAATAGCGCTGCATTCTTTCAGAATCCGGCCGAGAATACCATCAGGACCAGTAGCTTTAGATGGATCCAGGTGGTATAGGTGTTTAGCAACTTCTTCTTCTGAGACGGTAATGTCGGACAGTTGGGAAGAGGAAATAAAAAAGGAGCTGGAATCGTCAGGGTTCATGGTGGACTTAGCAGGACGGAAGACGGAACAGAAATGGGTGTTAAATAGTTCTGCTTTTTTTTTGGTGACTTTGCTGTGCGGTTGTTTAAGGTTATAGTAGGATTGAGAGAAGGATGGTGGTGAAGAATCGCTTGATGGTATTTCCAGAACATCTTCGGGTTCTCATTGAGTGACGCTTCAATTTTCGCGAGATACAATTTATGTTTAGCTCTAATTGCGTATTTGATTTGCTGACACAAAGTACGCAATTTGATTTTACAATCCGCTGTTTTGTTCTTTCGGTATTTCCTCAACGCAGTGTATTTCTTACGTAAAAGGTGGCGAACTTCACCATCGATCCAGGGAGGGGAGTTGGTGTCCTGTATAGTTTTTATAGGAACAAAACTGGTCACAATAGACAAAAAATTGTCTTTCCACTGCATCCAGCAATCATCGATACTGCCTGTTAGAGTAATGTCTAAGGATGTTTCTGACAAGGCTCTACCTAGTGCAGGGAAGTCAGCGTGGTTGTAATCGTAAATAACGCGTCGCACAGATTTTGCTCTTGTGAACTTCGTACTAATATTGAATTCAATGATGTAGTGATCGGTAAGGAAGTTATGTTCATCGGAGGGAGATGTTAGTACATTTGATATTACCTCGGCACGATTGCAAAAGATCAAGTCAAGCTTGTTACCCGCGGCGTGAGTTGGACCCTCTACGAATTGTTGCAAAAAATTGTCATCGATAAGTTCACAAAGGACTTCGCTGTTCGCACAACCACCTGACTAATGGGAGTTGAATCATTGTCCGACCAGGAGATCGAAGGAATATTGAAATCACCAACTAGCACAATACAGCTTGATCCTGTGTTACTAAGCAACGAGTTGTTCAAAAGACTAAGACCATCGGAAGAGGAACTAGGAGGACGATAGTACACATAAAGAATCACAGGTTTAATGTTCGCTTTGTTGAGTTGAATAACTAATAACTCAACACCATCTCTTTCGAGGTCACTGCGCCGAGTAACTTGCAAGCCTTCTTTTACAGCGATAAGCACACCACCACCGATCTTACCAATTCTATCTTGGCGAAATATGTTGAAGCCTGGGAGAAGTTCCCAGTCAATGATCGTATTGTTCAGCCATGTCTCGCAGACACAGATGACTTCGTAATTGCTCCCGTAGACTAAATCTTGAAGTAAAGTTATTTTACAAACTTTTCTTGCAGGGATTTTGTCGGTAGAGACGAACGACTTCACACTTCGGGAGTTCAAATAAAGCACTTCTAGGCAGTTGGTATCCGGCGTTCTACGAGATTGAACAGGACCAGTGTTTGTGGCGATATCACCAGCGAGTAGAATACACAAGAGAAGGTGCAAATTACAATTCGCGATGTTAAGTTGAAGGCCATATCTGTGATTAGACATGAGAGGGAAAGTAGACTTACGTAAAGTATTATCGCGCGTGGAAGACCAAAGACAACACAATCGATTTGATATTAACAGTAGTTCTGATGAAATTCTACAGATATTCTGGGGAAATGTTCGGTCGTTGAGTTGAATTTCTGATGGTTTTGACCTTATTGATAACCAGATAGTTAACCCAAAAACTTTATTGAGCATTTTATTGAAGGTTGTTTCATTTGATTTAATTAAACTCCATTACATAAGACAGTTGTTGCCATGGAGAGCGAGGCCAGACGGGATTTAAATTTCAAAAGTTCCAACGGTCAAAAAAAATAAATTTGAATAATTCACGAACAGAACATTTAATTAGCACCAAAATTGTACAAAATAGCCACAAAACGATTCGTAGATCACACAGCAAGATTCGGATGAAAAGGACAAACGACGACAAAGATATTGTTTATTGACCAAAATTTTCAGTGTAGCGCGCGCTACAATAATTAATAGATAATTACTGAGGCCAACGGCATTATTCGATATATTGCAGCCAGTTGAGGCCGAAGGCCGAAGCTGGCTGCAATATATCGAATAATGCCGTTTGGCCGAAGTAATTATCTATTATAATTACTGACTCGAATCAAAAGTAATTATTTTCGGCTGGAAGACTACGTTGCTGCTTGTTGGGACCGTATGACAATGAATCTATCCAACGTTACACTAGACATTGGTGAGGACATGCATGTAATGCATCGTGATAGAACAGATTTTAGTTTAATTAATGGCCCTAAATTAAAATCTCCACAAGCGGAGGTCAATTATAGTGTTCTAGTTTACATATTATCATTAATGATAAGGTTAATTCAAAGAGCGTATTAAACTGGATAAACACGGGAATAGAACTTATGGTGTGTTCTGCACATGCGTATATCTAGGATAAAATCCCACAAGCGCAAACGAAACTATTTCTCTATAAAGTTGAGCTGAAAGGACTCACAGTGACCGTTTTGGCAGTGCTTCAGGCGCCCGATGATATTGTATGAGGGGCCTTTAGCACTGTCAACTTCTCATCTTGAGATGTTCACGTTATCGCGTGTACTTGTCAGGATGACGAAGGATTGCAAATAATGTCTGTGTGCAGTGATACACGCTGCATTATTTTTAATAATACTGTGTGCACGCTGCATTATTTTTAATAATGCTGTGTGCACGCTGCATTATTTTTAATAATGCTGTGTGCACGCTGCATTATCTTTAATAATGCTGTGTGCACGCTGCATTATTTTTAATAATGCTGTGTGCTATTTTAGCCCGTATAAACATTTACCCCTGGGAATTTCCCTGCAATCAAAAAAGACCGCTCCCGTTTTTCAGAAGAACGCTAAAACTTCTCTACATTCGCTGATATAATGCAGAGAGAAAACAATAGGTTATTATGACCGTCAGTAATTATTACGATAGTAATACGAACCATCAAACCAAACCAAACCAAAATAACTTTACACCACGATACAAATCCAATTCCAAAATACGATGAGAGGATGCACGAAATCCTTAGCTTTAATTAAATATAAACATATTATAATAGCTGAGAAATTAACTGAAAATTTTTATATTTAAGCGGAGCTTGCTCAAGCGTAAACCTAACCTATTGACTTATTAACGTTATTGACTTATTAACGTTATTGACCTGTTAACGTTTTTTTATTTTAAAACAGTAGTGGAAAAGGACCTCTCGCAAATAAAATAGTGAGCTGTCAAACCATGTGGCCTGGCAAGTTGCAATGGGATGGCCAATAAGCGAACAGGGTTTTGTCAGGTGCATGTGTGATCAGCGTATACAAGCTCTATCCAGGTTCTATATTTTCAGATCAGTGGTAATAGTATATTCTGGCCAATCAACGGCTGTCGACAAGATTGTTAACGAAACACAGTGCTAAAATGCGGTGCCCTCAGTGCTTCCACTTGCAAGGATTTTTCCCTCCAGCAAGGAAATATTGGTCCTTGCAAGGAATTTGCAAGGAAATGAGTTTTACAAGGAGATGGCAAGTAAAAATACTAAAATTAAAGGAAATTGCAAGAACTTCTAAAACCATTTAAACCAGTAAAAATAAACTTATAAATAGTATGGGCCTAACAAAAGAGGCACAGAAGAATCTGAGAATGCCATTTCCGGCGATCTAGAGACTATAAACTTCAAAATTTGTCGTTCAGCGCCTTCTGCCGTTTAACCCCTCCACAATTATCAAACATCCTATGCCCCTGGATGAACATAAACATATATGCGGAGCAGATACTGTCATGAAGGGAACTCTTGAAAGCTTGCCCAAATTTTCAGGCAATGCATTATAATGACCTTATGACCTAGCCTATGCCATACTCGATTTCTCGTAGGATTGCCTCAAATCTGCCTGAATTTTCTTGATTTTGTGCACCGTTTGGGTGGCAAGGAAATTTTTGGTGAAAAAAGGAATTTTGGAGATTGTGAATGGACTTTTGAGCGAGCGGTTGTGGAAGCACTGGATGCCCTACAACCACTGATCTGTGCTAAGACTGGATAAAGCATCTATAGTATACAAAAGTGAAGGCGGAAGTCACGGGCCGCCACCTATTTAAGGGTCCCACTTTTGTATAGATTTGTATTACAGATGGTAGTTTATTTGCCTTGGCTACGTTTCTGACCGGTCCAGTTTTACAATCACAAAGAGAGAAGGATACAAGAAGAATTTTGACCAAAAAAGTTGGAGTATTATGGCTACTTTTATAATTTTATGAATTAAAATAACATTATATTAAGTCATTGTTAATTTGGATTAAAAAATATTTGATTGTCACTTGTCTTCCTACTTTAAAACATATAAAACTTCTCGACAAGTCGAGGTAATGTTCTTGACAAAGTTGACATTTAAAACTGTTCGTTCAAATTTTCATATAATTATAAAAGTAGCCTCAAGATATTATAAAACTAACCTCAGTACGCTTTCGTACACAATGTGAGCTACTTCATTTTTTCAAATTTCCTGAGAATATTCGTCCAGTAACAGTAATTCTTGTATATTTTGAGTTGATTTTGTATGAAAGTAGCAAAACGAACTCGTGTTGATAAACAAAGTCTGGGGCTCTCCACTCCTTCAAAATTGTAAATCCCGTTTCGCGGCGTTATAAAGCCATAATTCTTGTATGCTTCTATCTTTGTGATTGTAAAACTGGCCCGGTCAGTAACGTAGCCAAGGCAAAAAAACGC